ATAAATTATCTAAGTCCGACTCAATATCTACCAAGCAATAGATTAAGTGCACAAGACAATAGTTGATCAGGCTACGATCCTAACACAAAATCATAAGCATAAACACACAAAACAATTAATACGAAATATGAATTAATAAATAAAAACTAATTAGATCTCACAGTATTAAGTTCGGGGTTTCAATCGTGTTCAACCGTAGCAAAAGAGAATTAGCCGCGCAGGGCTTCCATGATCCAAGAGAAAAGAAAAAGAAATATAGTGAAGAAAAAAGAGGAGAGAGTTGATGTTCGTGAAGATCCCTTCTGTTGCTCCTTGCGGCTGTTGTACGTGCAATGTAGGTCTCCAAAAATCTGATCTCCTCATCTTTAATTATGGTTGGACTTTTAATCCTATTGGGCTTAATGTTTACGGGCCTACGTCCAAATCATAAGCTACGCACTGTCCGTCCATACTGACATGGCCATGTTTAAACAAAACCCAGTGCTGCCATGTTGGTTATATGTGCACTGTTTATTGTGTTTTTGTGCTGATTTTCATGTGTTTTATGTGCTTTAGTTTAGTGTTTTTAGGTTCGTTTTAGTGTCGACCGGTCCATTTTATCGTTTTTCGTGCATTTTTGCTTTTGTATAGTGTTTTTGTGGTTCGGCGTATTTTTCTTGTCTTTTTGGTGTTGTTTAGGTCCACAATGTTCGAGTTCGGGAAGAGGAGTCATTTCGAAGACATTTTCGAGTCGTCTGAACCATGTCCGAATCACGCGAACCATTTCCGAGCACATATATTAATTGCACGGAAATGTCGATTTGAGCATTCCAAGACGAGGAGAAGAATATTTGAGGAACGTGGGTCAAAATTTCAAGTCAATCGGAGAAGCGTGCGAAAAGTTAGAGCTAATCGAGTTTAAAAAATGGAGCAAAGGCCAGATTCGCGCCCGCGAAATCAATTCCGCGAGCAGCCCCAAACTCGCGAGCTGCGCCTGAGCTCGCGAATTTTTAATTCCGCGCCCGCGAAACAGAGTTTGCCCGCGAGTCCGCCCAGCAGCTCCCTTTGCCGCGAGTTCCTTCCCTTCGCGCCCGCGAAATGCCTCTTTGCCCGCGAGTTCGTCCAAGAGCGCACCAGGCCGCGAGTTTCTCCCCTCCGCGCGCGCGAATCTGCCTGCGAGCTCGCGAGTCCCCTTCCCAGCGTGCCCCGCGCGCGCGAGTTTCATGGCGAGGTCGCGAGTGTCCTGCCCAACATGCGTCCGCGCCCGCGAGTTCACCCGCGAGGTCGAGAGTACTCCTTCTCCTCGCGCCGCACCGTGCCTTCCTCGTGCCACACTCGTGCCATCCGTGCCCGCGACTCGCGAAACTGCCCGCGACCTCGAGAGTAGCTTAGTAAATGTGCGTGTTTTTAGTGTGTGTTTGAGGTGTAGCTATAAAAAGACATTGTGCTTTGTATTTTTGGAACAACCCTCATTTCCCAACTTTTAAGTTGGGAAATCCTCTCCATTTTCTCTCTTCTCTCTCCTCTTTTCTTTTTTTTTTGTATATTTTGGTTGAGAGCTTATGAATCAAGTTTTCCGGCGAATTTCCGGCGACATTGTTTCGAGTAAAGTTTCGAGCTTTTGACTCTGTTTCTCTTTGCAAGTGCGTGTAAGAGTGGGTACTTAGTCTTAAGCCCCATTACTTCGTATATCTTTTTTTGCTTTTGTGAAAATTGATATTGTGCTTGTATTGCTTGGAGGAAAAGATTGAATCTTTGGATCGAGAATGCTTGACTAAGCGTGATTAGGAGTTAAATGCTTGCTCGTTTTGTGCTAGAGTTTGATTTAGTTTCCTAGGCTTTTAGCTAGCATGGCAATGTTCGGTTATTTGTGTGTGTTTGATCATAGAGACTCCGGTGAACCAAAATCCCTCTTTCCCCCTTGATTTCTCTCATGTTCTTGCGTGCTTAGTTAATTGTTTTCAATTGCTCTCATTTCGTAGATTAATTTAGCTTAAATTCAAACCCACAAATTGCGAGTAGAATGTTTAGGACCTTTTTGGTTGTGTGACTTTGACGACTAGGTAGTGAACGAAGCTCCGAACAGCCTTCCTTTGAGAACGACCCGAGTCGGGTAGCTCGGTTACCACATGCCCAAAAATACTACAAACATGCACCATGCGATCTAACTGCACAAAAATATCAACAAAGGTAGTTTCTACTCGAAGACACATGATAAAGTCGAAAACACGTCACTTAAGCACAAATATCCAACACATAGTCCAAATTTTACTATATTATAAACATATATTTTTGACTTATCAGTAGACCAAATATTCGTCAGAAGAGGATGAGGTCGATCATTTGGCCTGAAGAACATAGTTTACGGGCCTATTTAAGAAGATACTCAACCTTACAATAAAAAAGATTTGGTTTCACGGTTAGACCGTCCAACAAGAAAGATTCATGGATAAGAAAGAATATACTGGAGAATAAACCTGCACATGGTCTATGACGCATGTCATAATGGTATTGTGCAAGCCAAACTTGAGCACTAAGGTATAAAAAAAATACATTCTTTCTGCATTCACTACTATACTCTCATATTGTATTTTATCTCTAGCAAGTGCAGATTTAAGCTTCAGAGGCTCTTCACCAGAAATCCCCTCCCCCTCCTCTAATGTTGAGTTCTTGCAGGTGCGGAGGCCGTTGGAGGTAGAAGGAGCCCAAGTGAAGTCCATTTTACTATTATTCTTCATCATCCTTTCTGAGACCCTGTCTAATATATTTAAGCAAGATTTTTTCTATCATTCTTTTAAGGGCATTAAAATCACTAAGTACTCTCCAACTATTACCTTCATTTTCTTTTTTGATGATTCTATCATTTGAGCAAAGCCGATTCTTCTCATACCATTTATATTGTAAATATTTTGAGATTGAACGGTTGTGACTCTTGGTAAAAAGTTAAATTGGACTGGCCCTTTGTTTATTTATCTATGAACACCTCTGATAGAATCAAGTCTGAGATTTGTTATGTGCTTAATGGAATCTCTGTTGTTCAGTCATATAGATATTTAGGTTTACCTTTAGGCTTAGGAAGGTAAAAAAAATTCAATTTTGTGTTAAATAATGTTTTGAACAGGCTTAGTAGTTAGAAAAATAAGTTGTTGAGTGAGGCTGGAAAAGGAACTCTTATAAAAACTGTGTTAGAGGCCTTGCGAACTTTTTGAATGTCCTACTTTAAAATTTATTTGGCAATTTGTAAGGAAATTACAGGTTGATAGTTTCTTTTTTGTGGGGGTTAAAGGAAGATGGCTGTAAAAGAATTCACTGGGCCTTCTGGGCTAGTCTTGCTCAACCCAAGGATGATAATGGACTTGGTTTTAAATTATTTACCTCCTCCAATGAAGCACTTCTAACCAAACATCTCTGGAGATTAACTACCCAACAAGAACTTCTCATGATCAAAGTGCTGAAAGAAAAAATAATTTCGTAATTCTACTAAAATAGATGCTTGGCATAGAACTTCAGATTCATGGTTGTGGAGCTCCTGGCACAAAGTTAGAGTTCACTTATAGAAGGGAGCTATTTTTATGACTTATTCTCCCTTTGAGGCAGCCTCTATCATGAATGAACCTTGGGTACCCGAGTTACCTGATTTCATGACTTATTCTCCCTTTGATTCGAATAAACCATGACTAAAAAATGTCGTTGATCTTTTGACTGAGAGTGGGGAAAGTTGAGACAGGGACTTTTTTGTGAGGCTTCTGAACCTGATGAAGCTGAACATATCCTTAATATCCCTTATTTAATATCCCTCTAAATAAGAAAGGCCAAAGAGATAAACTGATTTGGCATAAACATTAAAATGACTTGTTTTCTGTTCAATTTGCTTATAAAGTTATAATGAGGGGTAAAAACGGTGAGCTTAAAAAACCTAAATCAAGTAACAATTGGGTCAAGGCAGCAAGGATGTGGAATAAAACTTGGTCTTTAAAGGTGAGGAATATGATAAAAAAATTCTTGTGGAGATGTTGGCACACTGATCAATTGAATAAGAAATTACAAAGCGTGGATTCTATTAGCTGCATATGTGGAGATGAGGAAGAAAATGCATATTCTCTTTAAATGTCCTAGGGACATACAAGTTTGGAAATTAGCTGGAATTTATTGGGGCAGCTTGCATGACTAAACTCATTCTTTTAGAGCTTAGTGGTCTGACATCTGCCTTATTACATGGAGATAGCTACACCATGGACAATATTTATCTTCTAACCTATATCCTATGGTGGTTATGGAAGACATGGAACAATTTGATTTTCAATGAGTCCTGGAAGAATGAATTAGAAGTGGCAAGAGGAGCTTGGCTGGAGTTGACTGAGTTTGAGGAGGTAAACCAAAATTCATATGTTTGATATTTTTGTGCTTTGTTATTTGGAGGAGGGTTCTGAAAATTGTAGGATGGCTCTATTATGTTGCTTTTCTAGTTACTGGGGATTGTTGTCATGGAGGTTGTTGTCAGTGCAGTTTTCTAGGGGGTAGTTTTCGTTGGTGGTAGCCTTGTTTCTTTTGTCTGGTAGAACAGCTCTTCTAGGGATCATTGTCTTGATTTAGTGGTTAGAACTCTACCAAGTCTTTTCTCTTGTACTCTTAAATCTTTGACCTGTTCTGTTTGTGGATAAATGCAGAGGGTCTTGTGTTCTATTTTGCTCCATAACTGTATGCATCTTCCTTTCTTTTGAGTTTTTTTGCTTGTTATCCTTTAGTTTTTAGTTGTTTGGTGGGGTTTGTTTCTCCAATTTACTTGTATACTTCTATGTGGACAAGAGATTCATGGCGAACTTGTGCATACTTTGTTGAGTTCTCTTTTATATAATATTTGACAGTTTGAGGAAAAAAAAAAGTAAATTTGACATGTAAAAACACATGGAAGCTTCCAGTGCAACCAAAGCTTAGGAACTTTATGTGGAGAGTGTATCATGGATTCCTGAGCACAACTCACAACTGGTGAAAAGAGGATTCAAAATCGATGTAATGTGCAGGATCTGTGATGAGCAGCAGGAGGATGTGGATCATGTTTTTCTCCATTGTCCAAAGGTACAAAATTGTTGGAAGCTGCTGGGAATTGACTGGGAGTGTTTCAAAGAACATGGGCTAAAATAAAAGATTGGTGATGGGAAGTGAATGGTAAGCACATAGGCAGATTACTGAAGGACAGAATCACATCATCTGTATACCTACTGTGGAGAGTGTGGAAAGCAAGAAACAAATTGATGTTTCAAGGGGAACAGTTTGATGAATTGGCTGTAGTGAATGGGGCTTTAAGGGATTTGTTAGAAGGCTTGGGAGATCAACACGATGGAAGTCAGAGTAGTGGAGCTTAAGAGCAAACTACTGTGCAAGGAGAAGAAGGATTTTCCAGGAAGGTAGGACTAGTGATGTTCATGGTCAGTGCCTTAACTTCTTCTTCTGGTAAGGTAGGAATTGAAGGAGTGGCTGTCAGGGATGAGAATGAAGTATTTGCAGGCAGTACAAGATTTGAATGGGCAGAGAATGAAGAGGTGACAATGCTTTTGGTTGTGAGATAGCAATTGGAGGAAGCTGCAGGGAGGGGATGGGATAAACTCATTTGCATTCTAAACTCTAAAGAGTTGGCACATAAGTTAAACAAAAATGATGTTTTTTCCTCTTCTGTATGTAATATTATAGCAAATGTGCAGATGCTTAAGTCTCGGTTCTCTTTGTGTTCTTTTTCTTTCGGTTCTGTATGTTCTAGATGTAATATTTTGCCCATGTTGGCTTTGGAGGGAGATATGTGATGTGTCATTCCCGTGAACTTGTAATCAGTTGATTAACCGAATGTATATTTTTGAGCGTTAATGATATTATGTTTTCGGAAAAAAAAAGACACGTAAAAAGATAGACTATATTTTATTTCAATATGTTTTGAGACATGCTAAATAACCCTACTGAGAAAAATAAAAATTATTATTTTTATGAAAATTAGATTACTCATAATCCATNAGCTTGCCTAAAATTTTTAAAGTTACTAAACATGATAATCTTTTATGAAAATTTTCGAAAATCCTGCCTAAATGTGTTTTGAAAATTTTTCAAAATAATTTAAATTCAAACATTAAAATAAAACGATCCTATGCAATTTTTGAATACATTCTTTCTTCACTTCCATTCCATATAATTATATTGCTAACAAACTCGTGCAGACTCTATGGCTTGCGTCGGACATGTGCGGATAGGCTCTATGGCTTGCTGGTGAAGACGACTATGTTGCTGGATGAATAAGACGGCCCGCGACATGGTCAGAGTGGGCCGTGAACGGAATGGATGTCGGAGGCGACGAGAAGTTTGCGAGTTGGGACACACTGGCAAAATCATTGTCGGAAAGTTGCGTGCATTTTTCTCTCTATCCAATAGAATTTTAAGCGAGCATTTTTTCCTTATGACGTGGCAAGTTATCATTGGATGAGTTTGCCAACATGGAGTCCATAATTAGATAGGAAAGACAATACCAATATGGATTTGACTGTCTGTTGCCTTATCTGTTTTGGACTGTTATTTAATGGTCATAATAGTTGTAATTATTTATTTATATCTATGTTTACTGACATTATTTATTTAATATGTTTAATATTTATTTATGGGATGTTATTACTAATTTTTAATGTGTATGATAATTACTTTATTGTTATTGATAGCATATACAATTAATTATGGTAAAAAATTTATAGATAGTTTTTGGTAAATTTTAAATNTAGAAAATTCAGCCTAATTTCTTTTTTATTTTTTTTTTCAAAAAATCGTACGACAACAACACCTTTTTAAAATTTAGATTTTCTCCGTCAATTTTGTACATTAACAATCGTTAATGGTTAATTGTTTTTTTTCAAAAAAAAAAAAATGAAATTCAATATTTTGAGGTAATATCTTTTATCATAAAATTCAATACCCTAATTAGAAATCTTCTATCATAAAATTTACTGATAGTACTATCTAATTGCTCATGTTTTTTAGGCTTAATACAAATTATTTTTGAAAAATTTCTACTACACAATCGTGTGAAATTAAATTTTTTGGACCTTCTTATAGTTTGGAAAGAGTGAAAATTTATATGAGTTGTTTACATTATTTTGTCAGATAAAATCTTGAAAAATTCCAACTACAAAATTTAGTTAACTTTTTCAAAAAAATCAGAGGCAATTGGTTGTCGAAATTTATCTTACTATAACACTTTTTTGAAATTTGATTTCTTTGCATTATTTTTGTACATTAACGATCGTAAATGGTCACTTGATCTAAGAAATTAACGCAACAATTTGAATTAATATCTTCTATCATAAAGTTCAATATTCTAATTAAAAACCACTACTATACAATTCATCGATAATATTGTCTAGTTACTAATTTATTTTTTTACGCTTAATATATTTAATACCTTCATAAAATCATATATATATATATTTATTATTATGAGATAGGATAAATTCTAAAAATTGTACGACATAATATTTATTTTAAATTTGTTTATACTTTTTTCAGTTAATTGATAAAACTATTAATGTATATTAAATATTTAGCATTATATATATACATATATAAAAGAATACTATTTTTGTAAGTGCTAATAATGACAGTATATGACAATAAATTTAGAATAAAATAATAGTTGAGCATTGTGATGAATAATGTTTGTCCTATTTTTGTTATATTTTTCGTGCGTGTTTTGCTTTTCTTTTTCCCCCGTTTTAGGTCGTTTCTTTCGTCTTTAGTCCGTTTTGTGTTTTATTATGTGTTTTCCTTTATTTTGAGTCTTTATGTAATTTTTCGTTTGTTTTTCCGGTTTTCTTCGTGTTCTGTTGTTTATGGTGTGTAGGTCGGGAGCTTCGGGCGGATTTTCTCAATAGGAAAAATTGGTTTCAAGAGCATAGTTGAATAGAGGGGTTCGTTGGCGACGCATAGCAAAAAACGGAACTCAATTCTGAGTTTGAACGAGCCCAAACGAGCTCGAAACATAAAGTGACGCAGAACAGCCCGAGTCGCGACTCACGACATGGTGTAGCGACTCACGAGATAGAAGTTGCGACTCGCGAGAAAAACAGAGGCTTAAGGGGAAGTACGCGAGTTCGAGTCGCAACTCCCGAGATATGTCCCGACCAACCCCAGACTTTGAAGAAATTGACGACGCGCGACTCGCGACCCGAGGAAAAGGAAAGTCGCGACTCGCGACTTAGTGATGCGAAAATCGAGATGCGGGATTTTAAGTCAGATTTTGGACCTAGGGCACGCTATTCGACTCCAGACTTTGTTTTTACACTTTTTCTCTCAAAAAACTCAATATTGTTAGGTTAATTTTCTCTATTTTTCTTTTTTTCTCTCATGCTTGGATTGTTGGACACAAAGATATTTGGATTGATGTCTTGCAACTCTTAATCCGATTGTAAGTTTTTCAATTCTATTTTATTGTTGTTGATTGGTTTTATGTTTTTAATTCCGTTTAACATGAAATTGAATCTAAGCATGAGGTAATCCATTCACCTAGGGTTAGGGATTTTGATTCTCGTTTTGAATTGTGGGGAATGTGTTTTGTTCAATTTATGCGAGTTGTGTGAATTATAGGGTTAGTTGATTCATCACCATTCTATCCTAGTTAATCGACGTTTAGAACCGAGAGGGGAGACGTCGTTCGATTTAGGCTCGTATGGAGTAGACATGTTCGTAAAAGTATTGTCTATGTGTTGCTTGTTTGAATGAGTTTATCGTTTATGTTTGTGCTCTTGTTACGAAGAGTTATTGAGCATAGCCCTTTAGACGTGTAGGTTTGCTAAATCTCGTAACCGAACAAATAAGCGTTCAACATAGTATAAGACTTGATGAGATTTCCCGACCCCTAGAACTTCTTCTTTTTCTCTAGAAATTTAATTGTTATTTCTTTAAATTGTTTTTCTAGTTCTAGTTTGTTTTAGTTAATTCCCCAAATCAATCGTGATTAGAGTGTTTATAACTTATTTTTCTTTCGTGTGTGATTAATATCAACGCTGAATTCCGAATTGTCTTCCTCGAGATCGACCCGGGGAATGAATCTTTGATTCGGTACTCGGTAAAAATAATATAGTTTGCTAAAACAAATAAAAATAAGTTAATTATTATTTTTATATCATAAAATAAATATATGTGTTAAATGTTATTTCTATTAATAAAAATGGGCTAGCGGACTAGTATATTGCTAAAAAAAATATTTTTTTTTAAAAAAAATAATGGAACAAGTCTGCCGGGCATTGTTCGGGATGCCCAATTTGATGTATTTTTTATATGCATTAAATTTACTCAAAACGTAAATCTCTATGGAATAATTTAATAACTAAGCGAAAATGAACCGTACACATTAGGGATATCATCATTGTACCTGCATCTGGATCTAATTTTGTTGATACATCCAAGGTTATTTTCCCGTGTTGGCAACGGGAACAACGAGTGTCTATATTCAAATCATGGAAGCAAGTTGAAGGAAATGGACTCAACTCAAGTTGGGCGCTAATTCAAAATTTTGAGTCTCTACCTAATTTTACTCAAATAAAGTAAAATTCTTGTGTCAACATAGGGAAACAGCCCAAGATCCTCGACCTTCAAAATATATACAAAGAAAAGGAAAGTTTCAACTTCAGATAACCAGCAAATAAATTGTATGTAAGAAAATAAATAAATATAATAATAACTCATATTAGAAAGTTTATAATAACTTATTAAAAATTTAATTTATTTTATAATCATTTGATAAAGTTTATCATTTTCACGAATGAGTTTAANAAAACGAAACAATTATAATAGTTAATATTTAATTTTGCATTTATAGGTATGAGATCTCTCCATGTATATAAATATTACTTCCATCACATTTCATTGAATTGTTCTTAATTAGGCCACACATATTTTTGCAGTTTAATCTGTAACAAAGTTGTTAATTTAGAATATGCATAGATGCTCTACAAAATTACCTCCAATTTTGTTACCCTTGTTATATATGTAGGGTCCTTTTTTTTACCTTGACATTTTATTAGGTGAACACAAACTTAAAGATTATTTAAAATTCATTTATTGTTCTATTGGTACACATTTGACAGTGTTAAAAATAGGAAGAAATTTCCAGGAGTGGAGAACCTAGGTTTGAAACAGCCCCTAGAATTCAAACTAAAATAAAATCCCCACTAAACCATCTATCTATTTACTAAAAAGGGAAAATAAAAAGAATAAAACAAATTCATTTCACAATTTGCTTGTCAACACACAAACAATGTCCCACTTGGTCTGCTCCTGCTCATTCACTGAATCTATCCTTTTCTTCTCCTCCACTTTTTTCTTTTCTCTCTCTCTCTCTCTCTCTCTCTCTCTCTCTCTCACACAAGTGTGTATATTGAATTTCAATCATCTATATTTATTATATTTAATAACATACATTCATATGCATGTATGATGTATCTATCCTGAATCTATATAATTTAAGCCAACTTAATTAAATGCACATCACAGAAAACCATCCCAATCTCTTTCCTCATACATCCTCAAAAGGCAAACCCCTTCATTGACCAAACAACTAAACATAATAATAATAATATATTATTACAACAATATAAGACAGTGTCCTTGCCATTACTTTTTCCACCAAATCTTGTTTTCCTTTTTGCTCTCTTCAAGACTGCAACCACAGCTTCATAGTAGCCCAACTAATTTCTTGTTATCTTAGCTTGATTTTTTTGTAATTTTGATCAGATTCTTTAGCAGAAAAATAAAAAACCCAAAAAAAAGGGAGCAATCTTCTTGTTGATTTGTAACATCTTTCAGGTTATTTGTTAGCAAGCAGCTATAGGTATATATTGCTCTTACTTTGACATCTGTGTTTGCAACTCTTTTCCTTTCATCCCACAATGATTTAGCTAGTTTTCTTACATGGGTCTTTGTGATTTTTCTTTGTTCTTCATTTTTTTTAATTAAATCTGATTTNATTTTTTTTTTTTTTTTTATTATATATATCTGTTGATTTTGCCATCAAGATCAGCAATTTTTTCATTTGATAATAACAACACCACATTGCTTGCTTAAATTTTGAAATTAAGTTACTTTGCCATATGATATTTTTTCTTCTCTTTGCTGCTTCTCAATAATTTGATTTTGTGCAATCAAATTATGGTCTTCCTTTTGTTAATTGATGATGATGTAGCTTCTAACGCTTTCTTCTAATTGTCAATTGCAGGTTTTATTCTTGCGGACAAACAGTATTCAGTGGAGATCTGTGTTTACTATTTCAGTATTGAATTGAAATTGGATTCGATCCAAAAAAAGAAAAAAAAAATCCAATTTCAAAATTTAATTTTGAGATTGAATATCACATTTAGATGATCGAGCAACCCGGATCAAAGTCACGATTATTTCCGAACGGCACGATGGATATTCGAACATCGAACGGTTACCTATCTCGTCCGACAAAGACGAGCAGTGTCTCGTATTTGGAAATAAGGAAATTGGATTATACGCGGTCGTTTTCGCAAGGGCACGGTAAAAAAATGTTCCGTTATTTCACTTACGAGTCGCTGTTTTTGCTGGTCTGCCTGACGGTAACGCTGCTCATACTGCCGTTAGTGCTGCCGCCATTGCCGCCGCCTCCGCTGATGTTGCTTTTGGTGCCCATATTCATTCTGGCGCTACTTATGGTGTTGGCCTTTATGCCTTTTGGCGGTGGTGTTAGAGAAGCAACTCATTCGTGTGGGTAAAAATAAATTAAGTCACACGGATTTTATTTTTTTTTGGTTGCCAATTGAGAAAATGTAATAATACCCTTTTACTTTTCTTGTTATTTGTTTGTAGTCTGTAAAAGATTCATCGTTAGTTTTACATATATTGATATAGGGTGATTTTGTTATCCTCTCTTTTTCGATACTATTTTTGATGTCAATTCGTAGTTTGGGCTGCTAAGAGTGATGTATCTCTAATTTATTATTAAAAAAAACGTGGTTTTTTCAGTAACAGTTAGGGTGCAATTGCATATAAAAAATAAAAATAAAAAAAATAATGTTTCGTTTTTGTAGTTTCATTAAGTTGTGTGTATTGAAATAAATTTTGTATTGTATAAAATTTGTTAATTCAATTTTTTCCAATATCATCATTTGTTAAGAAAGCACAAAATACTTATGGGAAGAAACAATTTTGCTATGAAGTCAACAGTTGGCTCCATAGTGGAGCCAACCTTCTATATAAAACAAATAAATATATCATATTAATAAAATTATATTAGTGTTATTTAAATAATCAGATAACATCATAGGTTTATTTGTTGTATATAGAAGGTTGACTCCGCTATGGAGCCAGCTGTTGACTTCATAGCAAAACCGGAGGAAGAAAATAGCACACCACCGACTGGTCATCGGAACTACAAACATCTTACAATTTCAGCAAAGATGTGCCAACATGAAAAAACATATATATTTTCAAACCTACAATTCCATTAGAAAACCGAAGATGCAATGTTTAAGAACAAACAATTGACTCTTTTAACATCGAACCGTAGATTCTGAGGAGAGATGTCTATGAGACATCCACGAGAAAGTTATCAATAATGGCTGAAGGTTCTTCAACAACTATACAAGCCCTTTTTAATGGTTAACTGGGTTCCACTACTATTTCCACACAAGATCTGAATACAGAAACAACAAATATCGAATATCATCTTGATATTCACAAATCATTTATGTTTCCCAAAACAAAAAATTGAAAAGAAATTTGTCATTCATTTTCAAGTTCAGGAAATCTATGAAAGAACTTTACAAATTTGCCCTTAATATGTATAAATGGAAATTGTTCCATTTATGATATCCATACATAGAACTTCAATTGATCAGCATGACATGAACATCAACCCATTAAAGTTTATTCGCTCTAAATTTAGACACCCACCATTCAGGCTGACTAATTCTCATTGACTGTATATAATAACAAAAAATTTTCAATGTTATGAGCATTTGTATGAATTTTTCGTGGCTCCTGAATTTCCAACTCTATCTCAAACAAACCAATTTCACCCATAATTGAAATTCCCCATACTAGAAGCAAACGAGGTTGCTTCAGTGAAATATCAACGAAAAGCAATCACCCAATCAAAACAAAAAAAGTCAACCTTTTGAGCGACAATATCCACATAAAATAAAAATACCCACAATAAGCAGTACACTTTCTTATTTTTTATTTTTTAAAAAGATTGAACTTTTCCAGTAAGTGAGGTAACATAGATTTACTCAAACAAGCACCAATAAAAATGACAAATAAAACGAAAACCTCGTATGACCTTATCATTCGTCCTCGCCCCTTTCTATGAAAACCCCCTAAGTTTGCCGTTTCATCGGATTAGTGTCGGATTAGGGCTCAAATGTTAGGGCTCGAAGTAGCGTCGTCGCCCTCGTCCTTACGCCAGACTCCTGGCGAGAATTTTTCTAGTGTCGTAGCCGTCAGATTACGGTCGAATTTTATGGTAGAAAATTCTGGGCAGAGCTTGTTCACTTTTCTCGAATTGTTAGGCTCGATAGAGTCGAAAATTTGACATTTTGTGTGTAGGAGAAAAGAAGGGTATATTTGTCTTTTCATATATATCAAATAATTTTATTGTGTTTAGTAATTGCTTGATTAATTTTGCTTTAAAATGTTTCATGTTTTATAAACATGATACAAAAACTGACGTGTAAAGTCGATGGATTATACTGTCTAATCCCATCAACTTTAAGTAAATGCGGCTTATCAGTATGTTTGGTTCAATAGAAGGAAAGGGAGGGAAAGGATTTTAATGGAGGAGAGAGAAGGAAAGGAGAGGTGATGTAAAATAATTTTACCTTCTTTGGAAAGATTTAGAAGGATTTTGTTAGAGGGAACTGGAGAGAAAATGATAAAATTTGTTTGGTTAGATAATGAAAGGAAAAGGAAAACAATGTTAGAATGACAAATATATCTTTAATGATGTTAAAATAAAAATTAAAATATTATATATAATAAGAGTAAAATTTCAATTGAGTGTGTTAACATTTTTCCTGCCCTCCAAATTCCCCCACTTTTGAAAGGGAGGAAAAATGGAGAGGGGAGGGAATTATAACTTAAAATTTTCTCTCTCCTCCTGTCTAAATTTATGAACCAAATAAGGAAAAAGTGAAAAAATCCCTCCCCTCCACTCCTTTTTCCCGAACCAAACAATACCTAAATATAAGGTAGTTTATATATATAAAAATAAAAAAAATAACTGGACAAAAATAAAACGAAAAAAAAAAAAATTGTGGACCAGAATAAAAAGCACGTATTCTCAAAATACGTTTTTTTAATTTTTTTTTTAAAATGTATTATGGTAATACGTTTTAAAATTATATTTGTAAAATATCTCTTTAAATAATTGAAAAAACAATATAAAACGTATTTCAATAATACGTTTTATAAAAAAATTAATAAATAAAACATATTTTAATAATACGCTTAATAAATAATTAAGAACGTTTAATTAAAAAATAAAACGTATTATCCTGTAAATAATTAAGAAATAAAACTTAGATAATACGTTTTATATTTTAAAATTAATAAAAAAATTAATATGTAGTATGTATTTTGTGTTTTGGCTCGTTTGGGCTGGTCTGAACTCGGAATTGAGTTCCGTTTTTTTCTATATGTAGCTAACGAACCCTTCCATTCAATGATGCTTGCATGGTCAAATTATTCTTGAAATCATATTCTCCCAAAGCTCTTGACTGATACATTAAACGTGTTTCGCGCGATTTTCCTTTTTGGGCCCGTTCGGACTCGTCCAAGCTCAAAATTGATTTCCGCTTCTTGCTATATGTCACCAAGGAACCATTCTACACAACCATGATTGCCTGGTCAATTTTCGAGCTAAATCTATTTCTCACGGGCTAAATAATTAACAAATCACCCGTTATATAAATAGATGGTCCATGGAGGATTTGTTAATAGGTGATTTGTTAATTATTTATCCCTGTGAGGAATAGATTTATCCCAAAATTGACTGCATAATAATGGTTGTGTAGGCAGGTTCGTTGGCGATATATAGGAAGAAACGAAACTCAACTACGAGGTTGGACGAGTCCGAACGGGCCCAAAAAATAAAGTCGCGCGAAATGCGTTTAATGTGTAAGTCAAGAGCTTTGAGAGAACATGATTTCAAGAATAATTTGGTCATGTATGCATCATTGAATAGAGGGGTTCGTTAGCTACATATAGAAAAAAAGAGAACTCAATTCCAAGCTTAGACGAGTCCGAACAGGCGTTGTTGTCGTTCGCGGTCACGGCGTCTTCTACCTCCACCAATGTTGGCAGCGGGTTGATGCCTCGCCCTGTGTGACTGTACTCTGGGATGGGACGTAGTCCTCCTCAGATAGAACTTGACTGAACGACGTCCCTTGTGCGACCTTTTGGCCTTCACCAGTCAGAGAACTATAGGTATTCTCCCGGATGAGTGCACAGAAGATCAACATATTTCGATGTATAGGGGGTGGATCTTATGTTGGAACATATGTAAAGTCCACTTGTCTGATAAGGTTCTCCGTCAGTTTGGATGTCAGCAGTCCATCCCCCAAAATTCGATGATTAGTGGTGAGCAGAATGAGAGACACACCACATTGATTGATTAGGACATTTGGTGATCGGGCCGCATTTCATTCACAGCTTACCAAGGGCTGAGTCGATGAAAGAGAATAAAATGTCCTCCAAGATGCCCCTGTGGATCACTTTCTACAGGCTGAGTAGGATTACATTGATTGATTTTACACTAGGACTGTAAGACTTATCAGTGACCCTACTAAGTACACAGTGGTCCAACAGGACGGCGACTATCAGACAGTTGCCGAACGGGAGAAGCGCGATGCAAGTGTTCATAATTTGTGGTTTTTTTTTTATTATTTTTTTTTCTTTTTTGGTGTTTCATACTAATTACTTTGAATTTTATTTTCAGACTCAAGCCCTGGAGGGGGTTTATAACTCGTTAGCGAATATTCAAGACATATTTTCTACACTCCCTCCACGGGCGCAGGCCGCATTCCAACAGTCCTACAACATTGTCTATAGTTATCTAACCAACAGTTTTACAACATTGCCTATAGTTTTCTGACTGTTGGAGGCCAAGAGGTCACACAAGGAGCATCGTTCAGTCAAGTTCTATCCGAGGAGGACTACATCCCATCCTAAAAACACAGTCACAGAGGGCGAGGCATCAACCCCCTGCCAACATTGGTGGAGGTAAAAGACGTCGTGATCACGAACGACAACAACGCTCGTTCGAAATTGAGTTCTGTTTTTTCCTATACGTAGGTAACGAACTCTCTATTCAATGATGCATGCATGATCAAATTATTCTTGAAATTATATTCTCCCAAAGCTCTTGACCTACACATTAAACGTGTTTCGCGCGACTTTGCTTTTTGGGCCCGTTCGGACTCGTCCAAGCTCGAAATTGATTTTCACTTCTTCATATATGACAGCAACGAACCCATCTACACGACCATGATTGCCCGGTCAATTTTCGAGTTAAATATATATTCCTCACGGGGCTAAATAATTAATAAATCAGCTATTAACAAATCCTCCGTGGACCATCTATTTATATAATGGGTGATTTGTTAATTATTTAGCCCGTGAGGAATATATTTAGCCCGAAAATTGACCGAGAAATCATGGTTGTGTAGATGAGTTTGTTGGCGACATATAGGAAGAAGCGGTAATCAATTTCGTGCTTGGACGAGTCCGAACGGCCCCAAAAAGCAAAGTCGCGCGAAACACGTTGAATGTATCGGTCAAAAGCTTTGGGAGAATATGATTTCAAGAAGAATTTGGCTATGCAAGCATCATTGAATAGAGGGGTTCGTTAGCTACGTATAGGAAAAAACGGAACTCAATTCCAAGTTCAGACGAGCCAAAACAAGCCAAAACACTAAACACATGCTATATATTAATTTTTTTATTCATTAATTTTGAAATATAAAACATATTATTAAAATACGTTTTAGTTTTTAATTATTTATTTAGTTCTTAATTATTTGTAAAACGTATAATTAAAATACGTTTTATTTATTAATTTTTTTTAAAACGTATTGTGTAAATATGTTTTATAATAAAACGTAATCCAAAAATATGTTTTACACTATAAAACGTATTTTGAAAATACGTTTTTTTTAAATAAAAACGTATTCTCAAAATACGTGGTTTTGATTTTTGTCTTACATGTTTTTAAATTTTTGGGTTTTTGTCTACTTAATTTTTTTTTTATTTTTAAATAAATAAATAAATCCCTAAATATATCCGATATTCATAACCTTGGCCAGGACTGCTGCAGACTCTTTAATCGACTGAGAGTGCTCGCCTAAATCGAGAGTAAGTGATACAAGCAAGAACCTTCGTCGACCATGCTTGATGACACGAGTGCTTTAGTTGCCACCCTCCATGAAAACCTAGCCTGTTGTTCCAAGGTAATGCCCTAGCTTATGTTCATATATTCAATTATTCATATTGATGTACTTTGGTTATATTAATCTGCGCTTCATTTATGCAGAAATTTATGCTTATCTGTTTTGCAATTCATGCAGTTGATTGAAGCAAGTGACTACAGCAATTCGGAGCAATCGATTGCTGAACTCGTTGATTTCCTTAATTCGATCTCCAATTCTCTAATATCCGAAGGACGTGAGAATGATGCTTCTGAGAGCATCGCGATTGAAATTCTCACTCAAATCCATCAATACGTGGCCTCACCCGAGGTTAAACAGGCATGATACACGGATTTCATCTATTGAGCTTTTCGAGTTAGTTTTCCTTTTTCTCTTCAATTATTAATTATGATTTTTGGTTGATTTTGTATATTTTGATTCATGTTGGATAAGTGGACTGAAAACTACTTTTCAGGACATTGTTGATGCATTGGCATTTGAGTTGCCGAAGGCCGCAATGCGATTTGCCTGTGTATCAACAAGGTGTTCAGAAGTTGCCGAAGGCATAGTTGATATTTTTGTCAGCAGATGTAGCCCTCGGGACATGCTTTCAATTATTTGTGAGGTATATAGTTTGTCTATGGTTCTTCATTGTAATGCAGGTAATAGCATTTGAGAGGACCAGGAGGTTTACTATTTGATTAAAGTAAATGTGCCATCATGAAAGCATTATTGTCCCTTGTGCCATGGACAGTCTCTCTGGGTTTTCACTTCACGTGTTCTGGATAAACTGTTAACGATTCTTCCAAGCATAAATAATTGATGACAATTCCTTTCCAAGTATCCTCAAGCTAGTGTAAATTTTGTGGTTCTGTAACCCATTAACTTGCGCAGATAGAGTGTTTGGGTAAATATAGGCGTACGACTATTCATATAAGATGAGGATGACCATACAGTTAATCTTAGAGACTGAATTGCTATGTTATTTAATTGAATAACTGGGCTTTAGATCTGTCGGGTTAGAAAACCCATTTGAGTTACGTGTATGGTTGAGAGTAGACATTGAGTTAAATTTTAAATTACGTTATCTTTTGTTGAGTAGTATTGTCCGCTTTAAGCTTGGGTGGGAAATTTCTCCCCGAAGAATCGGCCATAAGCTGGGTGGGATTCATTCCCTAGTTGTTCGCAGTTATTTTTTTAATTAATAATATCGATGTTTCCCTTCATCCTTATCTCTTATCAGTTATTTGGGGTGGATTTTGATTTGGTGTGTGATATCATGACGAGGGTGTTTTTCTCTTTGCACTCTTAGTACTAAAGAATTGAAATCAGGAATGATATTCTATATTATAATTTTTGATAACCTATATTACATTAGTCGTAGTTTCCTAAACTGCAATTTCAATAAAATGGTTAAATGCGAAATATTTAAGAAATCCACATAACAGTCAAATAATTCCTGGCACAATAAATTTTATGCAGCCTTTATCGACATGTCCGACAAAGCCATAGCTCTTGTATATCTTTAGTTGATCCCATTCTCCATAATAGATACAATCTAAAATACATATGTTGTTACTTTTCTCAAAGAAAGAGCTGGGAATGTGTTAATAGCCTTTTGTTGTCAACTTCCGATTGGCATTTGTCTTTTCACTCTCTCGTAGTTCTATACCAACTCGTTTTGAAATTCTCAGGCAATAGGTTCTCCAAGCGAGCACTTCATGGTCCCTGGCTATTTTATACCTCTCCTTAATGGGCTCATGAAAGGTATATATGCATTATGCATACATGTGTAGTTATTTGTTTTTTGTTCTTCTTGAGTCGAGATTGTTAACAATGTTGGATTTGATACTAGTTCCATTCTGTATCCCAGCATTTTCAGAATTTTTTTTTACAATTAAGTCACATTTATTCTAGTGAATAAATGTTTATGACTAAGGCCATTGCAGTTGCATTTGATAATTGCTAAATCTGTAACTTTTAGTTTCTATGCTCAGGCATCTCATTTCCCTTAAAGATGGTTACTGACAAGTTTCCTGCCCTTATCCTCAGTTGCTTGGCTGATTATTTTCTCCTAAATGAGGAATTTGGTGCTAGTTATGTTTCTATAAATAATTTTCATATACTTTTATCAGTGCGTGTTTCTTGATACCAATCCTCTGTTTTATGATTATCTATGCATATGTTTGTGGTATCAGTACTTGCCCTAATACAGAGGCGGCACTATGAGCATGTAAAAACTACAGTTCCGGTCGTTCTTAATGTTTTGAGGATTATTTGTTCGAAGCCAGACTATGATGATACGGGTTATGAGAAGTTGTTCCATAAAGCAGTTGGCATTGCCTGCTCTATTAGAGCACTATGTGCAAAGTTGGTTCGTAACTTCTCACATCGTGCTTACTAGTTTAATTTTGTTCTCCACTAGATTCTCACTTCACTTTTACTTCCTGTGTCAGGAAGAAGGGGACAACAAGAAACTCAATGCTTTATTAGGCCTATATGTCTTGGAGATCATGGTGAATACTGTTGTTGAAGTGATACTCTAGTTTTGGATGTCTCAAGCTTTTTCATGAGACTTATTGCATTCAGTGTTGTGAGTCATACATCCTTGATGTCCAGGTTCTTGTTTCAGTTGGAATGTCAAGTGACATATCAAGATGTCTTCCTGTGGTGCTGGAGTTGTCTGACTCTCTTCAGTATTGTGAATTGTCTTACATTGGTTTAATAACAGGATTTGAGGTTGATACAATCTATAAGCTAGTTGTGGGAGGTATGTTCCGCTACTTGCATATCATGAGCCATTTTCTTGGTTAGTGCATTTGAAGAGGTAATCTGGTTGTGACACTGTTTCTTCCAGAAATTACGGATGATACAGTGGATGCTATGGATTGCTTTTCTCAAGTCAAGCTTGGAGCAGCACTTGCAGGTACCTAATATCAGCTTGTAATTCTCAGTTCATGGTGAGCTGTAAGTACTACGCTGAACGTATTTATTCTTACTCTTTGCAATAATATCCAGTAATGTGGGGTTACAAGGCTAGTAAAGTTGCTGCAGCTGCCAGAGCTGATTTGGCAGCGGTCACTGTGGAACTTCAAAGTAACTGGCGTAGAAGATGGGAAGCAATAGGTATGTTGAGGTACATATTTTTATGTGCCAGTTTGTCTTGGGAATTGAAGCAGGACAGTATGACGTTCCTTTTAAGCATCATGGATGGCATTTTATCTCACTCAGAAGATGGAGATGTGGACTACTCAATGCATATACCAACTTTTTGTACCAGTTTGCAAGTAATTGGCCACAGTTTTACCGGGTCTTACATTGTGGTTTTTCAAAATTTTATTACCTAATAACTATATACTTGTCACATGTAGGCTATTCAGATGGTCATCATGTCTGCTCCAGGTTCTGTACTGAGGAAAAATTCATTTAGTGCATTTAAAAAGGTAATATCTCCTGTACATGCTTTTAAAATTGTTAGCTTACTCTTGTCAGCGTGGAAACTATATCAGTCTTATATTACGATTTCTGTTGTAGTTTCGCTCGTTGATGCTCTTGGTTTTCTTATTAGTAATCCAATTGCTCGCCTATTATGTTCTATGTGGATTGTAGTGTATGTTGGATAAATTTGGTTAATAAAGATGCAACTTATTTCAACCATTTGATGATTTTTGATCGGTACAGTCACCAATTTAAGACAGTGAACACCACTTTTTTCTCATACCACCAGCATACGAGTTAAATTATGTGAAAAGTGGATCATAAGATGTTGAAAAGCGACTCAACTGGGAGTACGTGAGCTAATTTAAGGACACGCAGGTTGCGATTAGATATAAGATGATTCCGAAATTTCTTCTCTCATCCGAATATAGAGATGGAAAAGTGAAAAGTTGTTTTTAGAAAGTGATACAGATTTGAGGTTGTGAATGATATAAGATAAAAACGTAATGATTAAAGTTGATGTGATATAAAATTATAAAAATAAAAGAGTATTGATTGGTCAGATTGGTAGTTAGAAATTGTGACTGAATGAATAGTGTTTTTTTTTTGTTTTAAATGAAAAAAAATATAATAATGGTTACTTTCTGTTTTATAATTTTGTTAGTGAGTTTGTAAAGAAGAAAGTGAGATGAAATGAAATTTTTTTGTTTCATTCTCAGTTTTAATGAGCTAAATCTTGCCTGTACAAACAAAAACCAAGAAATTCCTAGAGGTATGGCGCAAATTTTGGAGCAGGCAGAAATTCATTTACAACAAAAACAAAATGTTGACTCAGTGGTGATTTTTTTAAACACCTACAGTTCTAATTAATCTATGATGGAGAACTTTCTGAGGAGTTTGTCCGTTCTAAAATCTAAAATAACCGCCAAACAGGCGAGCACTACTATCATGGGAAAGGACTTAGGTTTGAAAAATGCTTCCAACCAAGCACATAATGATTTGCTGAAGTTGTTACAACATGCCCACATAAGCATGTCTATACATTCTTACTTTGCCCTCAAATTTAAAATTGTAACCATTGTTCCTTGAGATAAAATGTGTTCAAAGTTCATTGTTTCTCAAATCAGGTACTTGCAGACATTCCAACATCCACGAGATTGGATATCTTAAGGGCTTTGATAAAGAATAGTGACTCACCGTCTATGGTAAACCCTGAATACTTTGATGCAAAGGCAAACTGTAGCCTCTTAGAATGTAGGGTAGAGTGTAGATTTTACCTAGTACCTGATTGTGCAGATTGGAATACTTCTAAATTGTGTCAAAGATGAAATGCACATGGGTAAATTTGAAAGAGGTTTATCAACAAATGCCGTCCCGAACATTGATGTTACTAGATCGACTTTGTTTTGGAATCCATCTGTGCTTGAATTGGTGGAAGAGGTACTAAGGCCTCCAGAGGGCGGGCCTCCTCCTTTTCCAGAGTACAGTGATGCAGTAAAGTTCTCTCTCCCTTTCTCTTTGTCTGCATGTGTGCAGCTGCAGTATATTCCTATGGATCTCTCCCTTCTTGTCTTCCATTGGTACATACTACCCCTTCCATATGCAAGGATTGATATACCAGAAGTACTGTACATTCATTTTCTCTACTTTTGATGCACACTCACCAACTCACACACACAAACACACAAGAAGCATACATATCAAATCGTTCAGCTGAAGATATTTGTCAGTTTAGTTTTATTATATGTGCATACTTTCGTGTATTACCCTCGTAGTTTTGTTTCTGTATATTGTTGGCGAGAAGTCATGTTGATTGTCATACTGATGTTAGTTTGCATCATAAAGTGCAATATGTGGCTAGCTGTATTCTTGTTCTTACTAGTCTTGTTATTTTTATATGAACCCAGAATTGGTGTATTTCATGTTTTCATATTTAGCTAAAAGATATACTGTGTTTTGTTGATAGATCCTCCTGCACCTGTCTTAATTGAAATAGACACTTCTGATTATTCATGGATTCTGTACTCCTTTAGACAATCAATGAATATAATGCTGTGGATACCCAAAGTTGAGCAACTCTGTGGAGCTTTCCTATATAGAAAGTTCATTTAGCTGGTTAACGGGTGCAAGTAATATTGTTGTTGAGGCTCCTATATTTGTGCTGATGAATGCACCTTTATAAATGATTTAGATGTACGTTGTAGTTCTATATTCTTGTGATGTCCTGATTCTTTAATGTTTTATTGATTGCTTTGACCGTTGTTTGAGGTGAAGAGTTTTTTAATATTCAGATCCTTTTTTTTTTATTCATTTTCTTATTTGATAAATCGGGATATCTTAACTCACATGACTTGTGAATACATTTTAATAGTTAGAATAAATTAGACATATATATGCATGTCTGTCTGTCTATCTGATACGGAATTGGCTAATTGATTGTGCTTTTCTGTGCACGCATATTCCCAGTTAACGCTATGATATTCTTTTGCGGCAGATTTTATCGGCCCTTAATCTCTTCAGATATATTCTCATTACAGAGTCAACAGGCAAGTACAGCTCTTTCGATTCATAGATACACCTCATTTGGTTGATTGATGCTTCTGAGCTCTGTGGTGGTTGCTTATATTTCCAGTTTTGCTAGAGGATTCCGTGGCCCCACTGGATATCTACACATTCAAATATCATATTTGATGTTATATCCAAATATTTTGTTAAGTACTTTCTAAGTTACTAGTCGGGAGATCTTGACTAGGAGCCAGGCCTGCAGAAAGTATCGACAATGCACTAATCTATTATACATGATTATTACTCCAGAAATATGAAGTGACGATCCTGCTAGTTTCAATTTGAATATCTCACATTTGATTGTTATTCTGTTATCATAAGTTTTGACCTGTAATAATATAATGTGATTTGGTTAGTAATATACTAACACAACTTTTTTGAGCTATAAGGAGAAGAAAAGTTTGGAATTGTATGCGAAAATCTAAAAGGTATTTCAAATACGGACGTTTGTGTGTATCATCATTAAAAATTAGGATTTTGAATTGATTTAAATTCGACTAAGAAAAAAAAAAAAATTCAGTTAACTGGAATTAGAGGTCAAACTCAATTCAAATATGGATGGAATTCTGAATTTGTTTTAAGGCCTGAATATTGAACTTATAGTGGTTTCATCCGGAAGGGTTTTATAGTACTTATTTCCATTTTCTATTCATCTCGTTCTTTGCTCCTTCCTTAGTTGCTGTGATCATCTGTCTGTGTTCTAATGCTTTCCTGTGTCTTTTCTTAGGGTATAAACTGAGTGTGATAATGATTCAGTTGGTTTTGGTCTCTGATGACATCAAGTTTGTGCTACAGGAAACTCAAACTACACTGGGATACTATCCAAGGAAAATTTGCACAAGGCTTACAATGAATGGCTTCTTCCGCTACGCACGTTAGTGACCCTTAGTGCAGCCGAAAGCCAGAAAGATCACGACGACCAATTGGCGTGTGATATGATGTGTGCTTTGAATCCCATTCAGTTGGTTTTGTATCGCTGCATTGAACTTGTTGAAGAGAACCTGAAAAAGTTATAACCAAT